CCCGCACGGGGCCGTACGTCACTCATTATACACACACACGCACGCACGCACGCACGCAAGCACGCACGCACGCCCGCACGCACGCACGCGTACGCACACGCACACACACACACACACACACACACACACACACACACACACATACACACACACACGTGCGCGCGCGCGTAAACACACGCACACACACACATATATTTATTTATTTGTTTACTTCATCAATTTTTATTAATTAATTAATTAATTTTTATTTGTTTATTTATTTATTTGATTTAGTTAGTTTTCTCTCTTTCTCTTACACACACACGCGCACATATGCACGCACACGCACACACACACACACACACACACACACACACCGCACACACACAACACAGCACACAACACCACACACACACACAATCACACACACACACACACACACACATTACAACACACACACGTGCCCGCGCGCACCGCACGCACCGCACGGCAACGCACGCACGCACGCACGCCTCGCTGCGCACGCCGGCCACCTTCGCGGCGATGACTGTTAGCTTTGACTCTCCGCTTAATCACCCCTCCCGAATCTCCCCGACCTAAGCCCCTTTATCTAAGCGGTGGCGGCCGCCGACGCCGGCGGCGGTCTTTGTCCGAGGCGGCAACGGCAGCAGCGGCGGCGGCAGGAGGCAGAGGGGATTTGTACAACTATGAATCAGCTTGTGGTGGCGTATTGACAGGTCCAGGATGTGGGGAGCAGTGCCGGGGGCGGAACATACACAAGCCGTGCCCCCGGTTAGTGTACAGAGAGGGGAGCGAGAGAGGGGCCGCGAGAGCAGAGAGAGCGAGAGGAGAGAGAGCGCGCGAGTAAGTGAAAGAGAGAGCGCGAATAGGATGAAGAGAGAGCGCGCAAAAGAGAGAGAGGGAGCGCGCGCGGAAGGAAGAGAGAGAGAGAGCGACGAGAGAGAGAGATGAGAGAGAGAGAAGAGGAGAGAGAGAGAGAGAAGAGAGAGAGACGAGAGAGACCAGAGAAGAGAGAGAGAGAGAGAGAGAGAGACAAGAAGAGAGAAGGAGAGAGAGAAGAGAGAGAGAGAGAGAGAGAGAGAGAAGAGAGAGAGAGAGGCCACGGATCGCGCTTGGTTTGCAGCGCCGTGAGAGAGAAGAGAGATGAGAGAGAGAGAGAGCGAGAGCGAGAGAGAGAGGCGAGAGAGAGAGAGAGAGAGAGAGAGAGAGACAGAGACAGAGAGAAGAGAGAGAGAAGAGGAGGAGAGAGAGAGAGAGAGAGAAAGAGGAGTGAGAGAAGAGGAGAGAGAGAGAACAGACGACAACAGAAGATCAGAGCGCGCCGCCGAGAAAGAGCGGCGCAAGCGAGAGAAGAAGCGCGCGCCGCGCGAGAAAGAGAGAGAGAAGACCGCAGAACGCGCGCAGCAGTGGTCGACATATAACAGAACACGACTCCACGCTCCGAACTATCAGCACTAGCACTGACAGTCGCTAATACTCGTCTCTCGCCTCCCACCTCCTCCTCCCCCTCCTCTAATGCCCCTCCCTTTACGACCGGTCCCACCGCCTCGTTACAATCTCTGCAGATTTAGGAACCGCCTAGACGAACACTTGGTTGGCTTAATGTGGCAGCTCGCGTGTTGTTGTGGAATAATTGTTTGATGGTGACCCCGAGTTTACATACTGTTTCGACGGTTTAGAGCTACTCGATGTACATTGTAGCGACAGTTGTAAACAAGTTATCTATGTAGCGCCCATTGTTAAATATTTTGATATATTGCTAGCGACAGTTTGTAAACAACTTGATATAGTGTTAGCGACGTTGTTCAAATATTTGATATTGTAGCGACAATAGTTACTTACTTGATATAATATTGTAACAGACGTTGTTTGAAATATGATATAGTGTTAAGCTTGTAGGGCGACACTGTTAAAGATAACTTTGATATATTGTAACGACAATATTGTTACTTACTTGATATATTGTCAAACGTTGTTAAAATATTTGATATATTGTAGCGACAATATTGTTAACGTTAACTTGATATATGGTACCAACGTTGTAAACATTTGATAATAATTGTAACGACAATATGTAACTTTTAACTGATTATATTGTAACTAACGTTGTTAAAATATTTGATAATATTGTAGCGATCAAATATTGTTAACGATTTACTTGATATATGTCCAGACGTGTTAAAATATGTTGATATATGTAGGCGACAATATTTTAAACTTACTTTGATATATTGTAGCGCGTTGTGAAATATTGATATATTGTAGCGACAATATTGTATAACTTACTTGATATATTGTACAACGGTTGTAATATTTGATATAGTGTAGCCTGTAGGACACTG